CTGACCCCAACTACCGTATACTTGCCGTTGACGGCAGTGCAGATAGGAGTTGGTAGTGGCCATGGCCGTTGCCCCTCACCCCCTGTCCCTGACCCCTGAGGAGTTTCTATTTGTGGATAGGACGAAATATAACTAATCATAAGGGCGGGAATCAACTCAAATCATTGCCAAGCATGAAAAAAGTTAATATTTCCAGCTTCCAGTCGGACGCCAGAGATTGTGAGCATTACGGAAATTACTGTACAAACTATAATTATTCAAATTAAAAAAATTATTTCTGATTTTTTACAGCTTTAACTATTTCGGAGAAGACTATCTACAACTTTTCTCGTGCTTTATTTATCTGTATCATTTATTTAATTGAAGATTCCTCGCAGTGGTGAAGTTTATAGCAATACAAGGCCATGTCTATGTTCCCACATGAAATTTATTGGAGTAGAAATGGGAAAGTAAAGAAAACATGCATGGGAATCCAGGGACCTGAGATGATTCGGTCGCTTCCATAGCATAAGCATACTGTATTATTTACCACTCATGAGCAGCCAATCTACCTCGGTGTCACCGTTCTCCACCAAGGTAAGTTCCGAAGGTAACCCTTCTTTGAGTTGGCCAAAATTTATGCCCAGGCGATGCCTTTGTCATGTTTTTCATCAAAGCTGGCCATCGGATTGGGAGACCTACCGTGGGGGCTTGACTGATTGATGTTTTGCTTCCGTTCAATGCTATGTGCAGAAACGGTTTTGCACTGTCATGGCCTATCGCTCGTATCATCCTTTTTGTTTTTGTTATTCGATTATCAATCAATTTAGCACATTATCAATCGTTTCCATAAATGATTGATGATCCGATGAAATGATAAAATGATTATCAAAGACACATAAAAAAGCAACGGTAAGATCTGCATGTCATCCTTGCAACGCATCATCATTTCTGACTCAAAGGCGCAGTGCAGGCTGATTTCTACGAATGTTGAGAAAGACTTTTCGGTGATGGAATTTCGAAAATCATGGTGAAGTCAATGAATGGAATAGAAGTATTGGTGGTGATTGATCAGCAGTCAAGAGTAGAAAACTTAAAAATGCATTTTCGCAAGCTTTGGATCGTTTCGGAGAAGCTGCTGATAATAACATCCTCTTTACTCATTATTTTCCACAAATTGGTTTTCCTCCGTTCACTTCCGCAGAGCTCTTGACAACTTGCAATAATTTTTATTTGTCTATTATTTTCACATATGTTTTCTCAATTTCAGTTCTTTTTTCTTTTTTGAAGGTGATCGTTTCGGACATGAAAAACAATAAAAAAACTCCAACTACGGCGAATTCCGGGGTGATAAGTGTGGTATTCGAAGAACAGGAGAGGAATGAAAGGAAGAATGCACCGGATACTGGTTTGAAAAACAGTAAATAAAGGGAACTCAAGCAGTAAAACAAAAGCAGCTCCTGCCAACATTACTTGGGATCTTTTTAAGCCTGTTTGGAACAGTGGTTAGCAGCCAGGTATTTTTCCTTCCCGGCCCAAGTACAGTCGAAATAGTTCGGGTAGTGGGCACACCCATAGGCAAAGTTCGAGGAGGTCTCAGTGGGTCCCACCCTGGCCATCCACGATTTTTACATCTTTAAGGACTTTAGTTGGTAGCAGACCTGCCTGTAGCAACGAAAGGAAGGAGCCCATCGATCAATCCCTACTTGGGTATCATCCGGGTCCGTATCCGTAAACCCGGTAGGCTTACGGAAAGCCTTTACGATCTCGATTGGAGGTCGGTCGAATGTGTGGCGCATCTAGTTAGAAGCTTGGCTATTGGCATTGTGCTCATCTGCTATGTTCTTCATTTTTACAGACATTCCAGCAGTTTCAATCACCTACAAGCAGTTGCAGCTTTTTCGTTGAAATTTCTCGATTTCAAAGCAAAAATTTCAATCAATACATTAACCTTTATTCAATCATAATTCCTACACATATCTGTACAATTGAAGAGAAATTGTATTGAGCTCTGTGAAATAAAAGCGATAAATTCACAAAGAACTAGGTTGAAATGGCGCCAGACGGCGGCGACATCTCCCCCCGTCCTTTAAAAGCGCATCGTTGTATGACATTTATGGCCCAAAATGATAGCCGTAATCAATGACGACAAGAAAACGCGCTCTACTCGGTGAAGAATGGGAAACGACGATGATCAGATCATCGCCGACACAGACGACGACGGTTGAGAAGGTGGTTACGGTAGCCGCATAGTGGTCGGCCCGGTTTTGTTCTGATCAGCAGAAGCTACGGTATATCGATAAGGGGAACCAGAACCACCACCGCCACCATCACATCGTCACCCTAGACCCTTCTCAAGTGTGCGACGACGGCCGAACGGACGACCAGATTCCCAGAAATGTGAGAGGAGCGCATCAGAGAGGCAGAAAAACACCGTCACGTCATGTGGATCGATCGCTGACGGTTAGACGCCAGACGACCAGAGTGCGAAAAAGCATATGAGAGACGCAGACATACAAAGAACGGTGAAGCACAATGACGCAGAAGAGCAGAGCAAAAAAACCCGTGGTCCAATGAGCTTAGTATGGTATCATAGAGACACCGTTAAGAGATAGAAAAAGAACGATGACAAATATACGAAGGAAAACCTTTACATATAGATATAGTGATATATAATTATGTGAAGATGACGTCATCAAAATGGCAGAAAAGAATTTGGTCTAAAGTAGTGAAAGTTTAACGTCGTCCGATGATGGTGGTGAATTATCCCACGGAACAACACTTCGGGCTAGAAATGCCTTTTCTTTTTCTCGTTTCTTCTCCTTCATACGTCGATTTTGGAACCATATTTTCACCTACAATGATAAATATACGAATCGATTAGCTGAAACTCTTAAGGACGGTTGAAATCCCTACCTGTGCTTCGTTCAGCTTCAGATTCTGGGCGATTTCTGTTCGCCGTGCACGATTCACATATTTGGCGGTATGGAATTCTTTTTCAAGTTCTGTTAATTGATGTGTACTGAAGTTAGTGCGATTTGTACCATTCTCATCGACCACTTTCCGTTTTGGAGCTGAAATCAATCAATCGATCGATGATCGTTCACAATCAAGGTCGAAACGGGTGAAGGAAGGAGAGTGTGTAAAGGAAAGGTGGTTGTGCTTCGTGGGGGTGCGAGAATTCACCTGACCCCAACTACCGTATACTTGCCGTTGACGGCAGTGCAGATAGGAACTGGTGGTGGCCATGGCCGTTGTCTGAGGCCAGGAGAGGGTGTGGTGATGGTGGAGTGCAAACGACTGAGCACAGCGCTCCCCGAGTTGATTGACACCTGGGCCTCGAAGCGCCACCCGATTATCACATGGCATCTCTCGCTAAACTTTCGATCCGGGGAGCCTAGTCAATAACGTGTTGAAGATGAGGGAATTTCTGGGATTCCTCCAATTTCCGGGGCGTAGTCTGCTCAATGAAGAACGGGTGCGGAAAGTTCTGCAGGTATGGAAGAGGAAAAGTTTTGGGAACGGCCCATAAAAGGGTCCGGGGCTGTTAGAGGACTTAAACGTTCAAATGATATCGAAATTCGATAGGAACACCCTCTTGAGTGGGAACAAACACGCATAATTCTTCCAAGGCGTGAAATGTCAAGCGGGAAGATTGATTATAATGGGCTACCCGCTGGCCTACCATGGCAACTATGAAAAATTTCAGTTGTTCAAGCTCCGTATGACATTAACAGGCTCCGTTTCCTGGTTTTCTTTCTTCTGCTCTTTTCTTTCTGTGGGAGTTCTCAAAGAGACAGAGTTTGTACTGATGCTAACAGCCTTTAAAAAAACTTATCCTCGGGAGACACCTTTTTGAGAAGGTCTGTGGTTTCGAAAAATTTGTTCACCTTAGGAATAAAAACGGCTTCGGGAAGGTCTCCTTTTTGAGCTAAGAGTTCCCAGTGATTAGCTCTCCTCAAGGAAAATTTTTGACTTGAGTTATTTCGCAAATGGAGTCACTAAGTTGGAGTTCCTGCCTCACGCGGGAAGTTCCTGGGTAGCTAAATCCCAGCCTTGATACTTCGCTCCAATAAAAACAAATGAAGTTGAACAAGTGGCTAGTCATGTGATGTTCCGTTCGGGGCCAACCAGGGTTCCCTACGTAATGATCGAGAATTTCCCATTGGTTTTTATGTACATTTCAGTACCACGTGACTTCTACGACACGTTGGCCAGGGACAAGTTCCAGAGTGAACTGCTGATAGTGTGGGGACTCGTGACATGGAAAATGATAAGGAATGCTAGCGATAACTTTTTTTCCTCTTTCGACTCATTCTATGGGACCTTCCAAGCCTTTCTTACCAAAAGCTTTCCCTTTATTGGAATAGCTTACGGTAAGTCCACGGGAGGGTTTCCATCTCGGGAGATGTTGAGCGCAATTCAGATCAATTGTAGTGATTTTTTTTTTCAAAAAGGTATGGAGCACTTATATCCAGAAAAATACCCAGTATAACCAGAAAAGGGAGAGTACCCTCAAAACACCTGGTTTATACCCGGTTTTTTGTGGGTATTGAATTTATTCGAACTGAGTTTTTAAAATCTTCTTATTAATCCAAGGATCAGGCAAATTTTCTAACTGCCTATCAGTCAGATATAAAAAAGCAGTGGGAAGCGAGCTTTATTGAAATTGAAATAAAAGTGATGAATGGGAGATATCGATTCGAATCCTGGGAGACTAGCCATACCTCCAAATGCGCAAATGGGATGGTGTGGGACGGTGAAAGATTACGAATTGAACTGACCGTCGGTTTCAGAAAGGCGCGCAAATGGGATGGTGTGGGACGGTGAAAGATTACGAATTGAACTGACCGTCGGTTTCAGAAAGGCGTGGTTGAGGGTTCGATAAAACTCGGAGCTACTCTACTTCTTAAAAAAATCCATTCGCTTCGGTAACGGTCCAGAGATAGCCTTCGATTTATCAACCTTGGATAAAAACGGTATCGCCCAGATAAACTCCCACATGATCACACATAAATCACATCGGTCTAAATCCCAGGACCATATTTCATGCCGAAACAATCGGGAGATCGTTATCAATCATGTTTCACAATAGAAATGAATTTCTTTTATAAATAAGCTGCCGAAGAGGCAATAAAAAGGTTGCCGCTCATCGTTTGAACGATCGCCCACCAGATCCTCCTGTCTCTCAATCAAACCGCCAAGGCCCTTGGCTACATGCCTAATCTGTCACAGGCCCCGTTGAGGGCATATGAACACCCTGGGGTTAAAGGCGGTACGATCCTAGTGGGAACAGTGAAACGCATAACGCAGTAAAGGGAAATTACCGAATTACCTACGGGTAGGTACGAATCCTTTTACAGTATGGGCAAGGGCAAAGGGAAGGAGTTGGAGGGATAGGATCATCCCAAAAAGAGAACAAAAGAAAATAAATAATTGAAAATCAGGAAAAAAAGGCAATTTCGGTAAAAAAGACGTACCGGCTGGTTTATGTGACCGTTTCGTATGCATCCATTTGTAGGTATTCGTTACATTGGCTTGTTGATGTGGGAATGGTGTGGCTGTAGTCCAGATATCACTTGTGGACGCTGGAGGAACACCGCCGTACACATGTGAACCAGTCGATGTGGGCGGATTTATGTTTCTAAATGGGTCTGATGATTTATGGGTGGTTTCAAAAAACGCACTAAAGCCATTACGCTGTAGCTGGGTGCCTTCTTGGGACTACTGTACTGTTGTGAACTACCAACATCCAGTTTTTGCTAGGAATCGGCTTCCCAGGGCTTCCCAGGAGGGGAGAAAAAAGCCACAAAAGGGTGAAGCAACCGAAGCAAAGGTTGTTAAGGATAAAAAATGTTTTTGGGGCCTAGAAAAATATGGGCTCGCAAATAAAAGAGCATTCCGTCATTTTTCAAGGGGTAAAAGCCAACTTTTAAAATTTTATTCTAATTTTGGATAAATTTTTAAACGTACCGTGGTGGATCACATCGTGGATAGGGAGCATAAGTAGCTTGAGGTGGCCAATCGTAATACGGTGCATAGGACTCCGCGCAGCTCATCTTCCGTAAATCAGCTGCCGCAGTGGCGGTAATAAATCACACTACTCAAGCGGCGCGTCCGACAAGACGCAGGCCAGCGCCGCTCGGCCACTCCTCCGTTTGGGGCGTGGTCAGCCAATCACGACCGACCTGAGGGGCGTCACTGACGAATCGCTCGTGGGACACCTAAGCCGTCGATACCGTAATCGTCCGCTGTTGCTCTGCAATGACTGCGCGATATTTAGCGAATCGACGTAGAAGTGATGAATAGGAAGTGCAGAAATTAGCCGTGCAATCGTTATATTTGATGGAAGACGACATTAAACGGGGAGGGATGCGATAGGAAGAGGAATGGACACGGCTTTGGATCAGAACGGAATGTGACAGTGGTGGATGAGCGGGAGCGGTGAAAACGGTTTTAGAAAACTTACCCAAGTAACCACAAAAAGATGATTTCGGGGACGATTCGGGATGGCCATGAGCGAGCAGTGGTCGGTTAGGTGAAGGGAGCTTCGAGAAAGAATGAAAGAAGGTTGAGTGGTTTAAATTCTTCCAAAGTTGCCACGAAATCAAAAATTCGTGGAACACTGGCAAGACAAGGTTCTCAATCAGGACCCTTTCTGGTAGAAAATAGGGAGCGGAAACGTTTCGCCAGGGTGGTTCTCCTGGAAGGGATCAAAGTAACTCTGTTCCTCTGGTAACTTGCAAAAAAGGACCGTAGCGCTGACTGATTTTCAGGATTTCCGGCTCTCTTCCCAAATAGCCTCCTGTAGGAGCGATCGTACCTATCGATTCGATATAGAAGAACCAGTAGAGCCTCCGAAGAAGGACTTCTAGACGGATTCCGATTGGATCTATTCCATTCCAGCTCCCAAGCAGCAACGAAAGCTCCGGATCCGATAAGACCTGGAACGAAGCGCTTATCGTTGTCTTAAGTGAGACTGGTTGTATAACCATTAATGTATGTCAGAGGTTTCACTGCACCAACCCATCGAACAGACAGAAGGATTCACAATGAGGGCAATGCCCATGGGAGAAGGGGAGCATCGACATGTTGCATTCCCTTTTAAGACCAGTGTGAATCGCAGGGCAAGCGATCCTCACGTAGAGTAGCTCTGCTGCTTTTTGGAAAAATGGAATTCGCAAAAGCCCGGGTACAATCTACTATCCCTGTAGGGTCTATTCTATTGCCAGTCATCCGAAAACCCCAAAGGGCAAGCTGATAGTGTAGTTAAATATGTTGATAGCTATAGTGAAACTTCGAGAGTGGAATCAAGTGGTCTCTTCAGAATGCGCCACACATTTGACTTCCCTGAGAATCCTACGTTCTTCACAAAACTGTCTTTGGCATTTTCGTAGCCGTCAGTTTCGTATTTCCACAGAAATTTTGTTTGTTGAACGAAATGTGGTCCTTTGTCGTTACAGTAAAATCGCCATGCTCGTGCGAGCTGCCTCAACAGAAAACAAATGAGCCGCCGATGTGGAGAACGGCCATTAATCAACAAACTACGAATCCCCAAGATTTATGGGGGAAGTGATCAGATTGTGGCTCAACGAGAGCGTAAGCCGATCGGAAGTGGATTTAGGAAGATTTCAAGCAATTAATAGGCAGAATAAACTTAAACAGAGAGTATTTGGAGGAAAATCTTCAATTTTTCGCTGCCTGCGTTGAAAGCTCAACAGTGCATCGTCAGCTTCTTTGCATCTTCGATGGAACGCACCGATATGGGAATACATCGAAAAAACTGCTATGCCGTTGCGTTATTGATGAAGAAATACGATCACGTAGCAGCTGGGAAGACCTTTTTCGATCGATAAAAAGTATGAACGAGAGTTAAAAAATACGCAGAGAAGTGACTTTCAGCAATATCGTCTTTTAAGTTGGAACCACACGAGTTCGAGGTAAATTGCAAAAAGAAATTCAAGCTAATCGAAGCAATTTAAAGGTGAAGGGAGGGTTATGGGAGAGGAGGGCTGGAGTAGAATCCAAAGTTGTAAGCGTCCTTAGAAATGAAATGGTCGAGATGGTTTGGCTCCGTCTTTAATATTGCATCATAATCAACCCGGACAGGAACCGGAAATCGTCGTGTCTTCAAAGAAGGAATCACTGTGGGTGGTTCTCTATGGGAAATCTTCAAAGGGAGTCAAAGGAGCGATGTTCGAGGGAGTTCGACACGGTTCGTGATTCTTTTCAAAAATGGCTCCCAGTCAAGCAGTTTGAGCTGCCAAGCTCGACCTTACTTGCCTGACTGGTACGAGGCTGAGCCGTCAAAAACTACAACGGTGGAACAGACTGGAAGCCTTTCAACACAGGAAGCTACCGCAGAACAACTGGAGGGCTCTCGGAGCAAACTTATCGGAAGTACATTTTGTAGCACGTTTTTTAGCAACCCTGGCCGATTACTGTCAGCTACGCCTATTCATCGACACTTAAAATTAATTTGTCACCTAAGTTTTACTGACCTCTGTCCAACAACACAAAGAAGACAAATGTTTTTTGACCGTTGACTGACCAGAAGGAACCAAAAAATTGACCGTTAACTGGGCCGAAGTCAATAGTGTACTAATTGCGCATAATCGAC